AATTTAAATCACTTTCCTCAACTGTTTAGTGCAGTTGTTTTTCCACTGTTTTTATAAATGTGCTTGTTAGTAGAACGGTCCCAAAAAGTGAAACATTTGAAATGTAAATACCAGTGCATTTTATATCAAACAAATACATATGTTGTAGAAAGATAGTTTTCATTTTGTTTAGAGATCTCTTTTTTCCACCTGGGTGTCTTTGATGTCCTACGACAGTGAAGTACTCTTCAAAGCATTTTATTTGATCTTATTGGTTCTTATCTTTTTAGTTTATAACTAAATATTGAATAACACTTGGAAAGACATTCATGTTGGCTATAGTACTAACTGAAATACTGTTATTTTTGACTACTTTTTGAGTACTTAGAAAGTATCCTCCCATCCTTTTAAGAGTCTTCTTTTTCAATTACAGCGAATGTGGAGAACTGGAAGTGCGTTCCAAAATTGAAACTGCAAAAATATTATTTTTTAAAACCAAATAAAACATCTGAGTCATTACATTTTATCAAAGTCATTTTTCTAATGTCAGTATTGGGACAAAAACCATTTTGTTTTGAATGATCATTTCATAAAAGACACAGTCCGCCAAACGGGAGATTGGTTTCTGATTTGTAACTTTAAATATAAATAAAAGGTCCAAGTGTCACCCATCACAAACTGTAGTTTGGTACAGATTGAAGAGTTTGCTTCAATTCAAGTCCCCAAAAGTGACTCTATTTTCTCTCTCGTCTCGTCTTTGGTCGAGGTTCTTCTTTCCTCCCCCTTTAACTGAGTTCTGGTCTGCCTTTGTTGCTACTTTTTGTTTTCTCACCCGGCTTATTTAACCCCCCACGACCTCTATACAGCCTTTATTTTCTGCTAGGTTTCCCTTTGTGTCTTTGTTTCTCTGAGAAAACCTTGAGGATTTTTGAGGATTTTTTTCGAACATTGTTTTTCAAACCGTATTTCTAACGATTTAAGGTCTTACTTTTTTTTCAGGCTGGTAAAAGTAAAGAACGCAGATGTCTTTATTTATCACAGTTTTATCAACCGATTCTCCCCTGTTGTCAGTTGTGATTCAGTCGTTCCTCTTCAAGTCACGGCTCTCTCTGTTTCTCTGTAATATTTCAGCAGTATTGATGGATGATGAAAACAGGCGCCGGCTTTGATGTTTGCTTGGGTTGTAAGCAGCTGTGTGTACGCGTAAGTTATTATTGTTGAAAGGACACTGTCCTTTGGGGGACATTTGGCAAGTCCTCACTGAGTGGGAGGGTGTTTGGTTCAAGATTTAATTTGGAGGATTGAATTTCAGTTCAGATTATAGGGTAAGGGTAAGAAGAATATAGTAAAGAAAATGACCATGTCCATTTGTAGGACTGTAACAGTGACACAGAGGTACAGTAGGTGGCAGAGTTTCTCACTGTTGCCATGTGTCGTTTGTTTAATAACCAAAAAAAGCCACAAAAAAAATAAATTGATAAATAATGAATTTAACGATATAAAATAACATTAACATGGAAACATCCATCCATCACTATATTCACCTCACGTGAATCTTGACAAATCAAGATTTGAATAGGTCAAAAGGTCAGTTTTATAAAGTCCTGAACCTTTCTCAAACTTTACACAGTCAATCCAAAATTGTCACATTCCCGGGGGGGCAGATGGTGAAGGTGTGTTCCATTTCGCGGTAAATCAAGAGGTAAATTGGTCTTTTTCTTTCTTTTGATTCACACGAGAAAAAAAATTGAGCACAGTGAATAGTGTAGGTGGGTGTTCTCTGAGTCAGCCCGCTCTTCTGAAATACATATTTTTACCTTGTTTTTAATGAAAACAAAACTTGGAAAACATACAGTACCTTAGGTAAAATGTTATAAACAGGAGCTGTTGAGAAAGACTGGCATTAAAGAGCATGTACAGTCTAATATGGTATTGAAGTACTGAATATGATGGCGTACAGATAGT